TTCTGGCCGTACAAGAGAGTGCACTTCCGATCCCCGGACCTCAAGAAGGACTTCGAGTTTCTTGGCTCCAACGGAGCGTACCACGTCCAAAAAAGGCTTTCGCTCCAGGTTTGCGGCTCCGGTCGCAAGATCCGCATGGGCTCACTCTTCTGCGACAGCACGGCCATGCTGCAATTCCAGCTCCCGCATAAGGTCTATGGCATCGCAGACAACATGTCTGACAGGGCGGCGATAAGTCGACTCACACCCCCATACTTGGGGAGGTCCTGCCTACTGCTAGGCCAACACCTGATGGCCCTGCTGTCAGCCCTTCTGGCCAGCGCCACGACCGCTTCGCCGGCCTTTTCCAAAGGCGAGCATTGCCTCAACGCCATGACGGCCTTCTACATGCTTTGCATCCATGTCGCTTGCAACCAACACAAGTTCAAGGACGAGTGGCAGAGACACAGCCTGAGTGTGCCCACGCTGCGGAACACGATGGGGTTGGCGGGGCACGCTGTCCATGCCAGCATGACAGCGGTGGAGCCTCGCTTCGTCCAGGAGCTAGGCATCGAAAGTTATTTCTCTGCCATCAAAGCTCCGTATCAGGGAAGTCCCAGTGTGAAAGACGGCATCTATGGTGCAGCTCGCCACCAACTGAAGGAGATCAAGGAGCTCCAAACCCTCAGCGATGCCGCTCTGGCGAAGGGGGAACCGGTGCATGAGCAACGGGAGCCACTGAGCTTGGATGCTGCGAAGAAGTGTTCGGGACATGCCTGTGCCAATGCCATCCAGCTCATGACGTGGGCGACCGAGGACGGCACCGAAGACAGCCTCTTCTGGATCTTGGACAAGTGGTTCAAAGAGCGATCGCAGACTTTGTTCCGAGGCATCCTGGAGTATGACCAAGCCGAGGAACTCGAGGTGGAGGCCCAGGAGATCACCGACGACGAGCTGGAAGGTGAGCTCTCGAAATCCGATGCGCAGCGGAGGATGGAGCTGCTCATGGCCGTGCATGACAGGGCAGCTGCAGAGGAGGAGGTGCAGAAACATTTGCGGGACCTCAGCAAGCAGAACGGCGAGGCTGACTCGACACAGGATGTCCCAGAGGCCAGGACCATCCAAACCCAGCTGCCCGAGGCGGACATGGAGCCGGACTACGACGCCAAGCAGCCCCGGACCCTGCAAGCCGTGCTCCGGATGACCATCAAACGGGCTGGAACATCAGGGGTGCTGCAGTGTGGCGAGTCCTGTGCAGCTGAGGGGCCCCGTGCAGTGCTTCAGCGAGTGCACCTGCTCTTGCCAGCGATGCGACAATTCATCCGGTATGTCCGCTTGGAGGAGCAGATTCTCTCCCAGGGGGTCATCGAAAAAGGCCTGCCGGGCGGCAACAAATGGAACGAGCGAGAGCACCTGCTGGCTCTCGCCCGCAGAAATGCGAGTCTCGTGAAATCCCGCCTCACACGGCTGGAGATGTGGTCGCAGGCTCAGACGACTTTGGCAAAGACTGTGCAGGAGAAGAGTGGCTACTCCCAGTCCGACGGCTTGCTGCCAGCTGCCCAGTACAAGCCAGGTGTCTGCGAAAGCGATGCCCAGATCCTCGCAGTCCGCATCGACGACGAAGTGCAAGTCGTCATGACCTTATGTGTTTTCAGAGGCTCTATCGTCAGGAACCCGAAGACACAAACCGAGAGGATGAAAACCAGCAAACCAAGTCCAATTGCATTGCCGGCCGCATGTACCAAACTGCTGCACCTGCTGGTCCTGCAGTACTTGCCTGATCAAGACGAGTACATCGGCTCGTGTGCTTCACCCGTGGTGTTCGTCTCGCCACTCAACACAGTGCTTGGCGAACTGGCTACTGCAGCTGTGCAGCCATCGACCTTGAGGCTTCACATCAAGCTGACACCTGGATCCTCCAGGGCTCTGAAGGTTTTGCAAGAGACTCCTGCAGCAGAGCTCGGATTCATCCGGGATGTGCCCGACCAGCCTGGAGCCGCCCCTGCGGTGCAAAGCAGTGCTACCGTGTCCTACAACGAGTTCTCCTTCAGCCGCAGCAATCTGCCGTCTGCTGTGCCCGAGTTCTTCCAGCGCCTCAAACGACAGTATGAGGCCATGGACATACATTTGGTGAATGCCAACGGTGTGATTGTCAAGCCCGGCCCATCGCAGCAATGGACATTGGTCATCAACCAGGTGCCCAGCTACTTCAACACTCTCGAGGCGAAGGG